AAAGGGCAGGCACTTTCAAAAAGACTTGGCAGGTGATTGGATCAATCTGTCTATCACCTTCTATCATGGGCCACTTCTGATTGGTTAACAATGGCTGGTACATGTGGAGCACAGCACTTCTGATTGGTGTGGATGACTGACACACAAGAAAAAAGAAAAAATCGCAGGCTTTGCGATTTGATAATATATATAATATAATATAGCTATTTGTTTTTTATATATTATTTAAAGTTATTTTGCTTATTCTCATTCCTTTACTTTATTTGATCCTATTTCATTTCAATCTGAGTTCTCCCTGAATGTTCGATGTGTGACTGTATGTTTTTCCGATGTTCAAAATACAATAAATGTAACAAATAAAAATAAAGGCCCATCTTATGTTATCTTAGATGTACATTACTCACGTAGAGAGAGGTAGAGCACGGTGTGATTATCGCTCCTGTTGTTGTGAGAGTCGTCAACGTAGATGTGTGTGTAGTTGTGATGATTAAAGAGAATCGGACCGGAGTTATCGACGGGCCGAACCCATTCCTCCATCTCCGAGTTCTCCTTGATCTTGTTCAGGATGTCCATGTGAATCGCGCTGCTGTCCTGGACACACTGAAGGGGAAGTATGATGTTACGGCACATGTTTAATGACGGTTCACCTACTGTTGGTATGCCCCGCTAGCTTTCTGATGCAAAATGTGGCCGTTTTTTAAGTAAAGTAGGATTTTGTTTCTAGATTTCAGACAGAAGAAGACAAAAGCTGGCTCTTCAATTGAAGTGATTAATAACCGAAGATTAGATTTAAAAGTCCTGATTGTTTCTTTAAATGCTGGAGATTCAGTTACACACAGTGTCACCGTCATATTGTCTAATGGGTAAATGTTTTCGGCTGACTTCTAAATAAAAACCCTTTTAAAATGGTACCTTAGATATTTTACAATTAATTGAATGGCTACAAACATCCAATTAGGCTCAAATTAGACACATAAAGTTATTTAAAACCAAGGAGGAGATTATGTTGTGTGTGTGTGACATTCCTGAGGCTTTGTTTCAGGTGAATCATGGACTTAGAAAAATTCCAGGACATGTTGGAGTGCTTCGTCACTTATAGCGAATACACATCTTACTATTGTTAAAAACCAGAAAAAGAACTTCCTAACCGCAGTGTTAGGCAGTGTGTGTGTGTGTGTGTGTGTGTGTGTGTGTGTGTGTGTGTGTGTGTGTGTGTGTGTGTGTGTGTGTGTGTGTGTGTGTGTGTGTGTGTGTGTGTGTGTGTGTGTGTGTGTGTGTGTTTTAAAATACCAAAAAAAGAGAACAATGATTATGCATTTCTTAAATGTAAAGTTATTTTTAACATATGAATGGTTATGATTTGAAAAGATAAAAAAGTCAAAATTATCCAAGAAGTGCAGACATTGAATTATCATGTTTTTTACTCATAATTAAATAAATCTTCTACTTTGTGTCTGTATTCATGCACATAGTTTGAAAGCTAGCAGCTATAATGATACCGAAACTATTTCTTAAAGTTATTATTTCAGTTGTTGTTGACACATACCGCTCTGGACCTGCCGGGTTGGCGGACTTTGCCTTTAAATGTGGACGATCTGAAGATGCGTTCAATGTCTCCTATGGTGTAGACACACACCGCACTCATCCCCCTGCAGACACACACACACTCATCAGCTGATTCACACACACACATCTGCAGCAACAGGGAACTGTGGGAGGTCAGTTAAAAGTTGTGAGACAGCTGAGCATACAGAAACCAAGATTAGGAAAAAGGAACTAACCAAGAAACTCTTTTGTGCATACAGTGTATGTGAGTAACATTTTGATGTGTTACTGACATCAGTCCACAGAAAGAAGTTCACACCAGTGTGGTTGTTTACTTTTGGATAAATTAGCTGACATAAGCATTGACTCTGCAGTTTTAATAAAGTACACCACAGCAAAGTCATGCTGGTTTTCACCTCTCAGCGCTGTGGCTGACTTTAATCTGATGAGGCTGGACGTGTAGTCATGAGTCAAATGGGGATTATATTTCAGGAAAAAACCCATTTGGTTAGGATCATGCGAAGGTGACTCGAGTCCATATAAACTGTTCTTAGTATTTCATTTTATATTCTACTTGTATTTAATCTTACTCTGCTTTACATTAATATATTTTACCTATTTCTGCATTTTACTATATAATATCCTTTCTTATGACACGGCTTATTTGAATACGCGATTCTGATTGGTCAATTTAAACATTCCAGAGGCTGTTAATTTTCAATAACAGACCGTTGCTAAAGCAGAACAGACTTTGTGCAGTCATATCAATCCGCAGAAAGAAGTCCTGTATACTAAACGTCATCTTTGGACACCAAACATAACTTTTCCTACATCAGAAAAACACCAGGGAATACTTTTTGAATATTCACTTTATATTAATTGGAGAGCAGGAAACGTTGGATTCATGATGGCTAAACTGTCCTCAGTAAAGAAAAGAGGTTAGAGGACAGAGAGCTGGACGACGGATAAATCAACAGAAGAAGACAAACAGGAAGTAAACACTAATAGGACCACGGTCTGGGCTCTGGCAGCGTTTAAAGACTGGTTAATGCTTAAGAAAATGTTAACAGAAAACATCGATCAGTGCTGCCGTCATTTAAAGTTACGTTGCTGTAGCCGCAAACTCATGCTGGCTTTTCAACTCTCAGCATTGTGGCCGACTTTAAGCTGATGATTGTTAAATGTAGTCATGAGTCAAATATGGATTGTATGTCAGGAAAAAACACATTTGGTTCGGATCGTGCAGAGGCTACCTAAGTATATACACTTGCTTCGTTTTGTCTTACCCCATTTTACATGTATATCGTTGACATATATCTGCATTTAACTTGCACCATTGTGTCCCTTGCACGGTTTTATGTATATTACTTATTGCAGTATTTTTACGATAAGTCTTAGGTATATCGTTTGTGCATTGAATTGTTGGGAGGAGCCTGGGACTTCAGATTTCCATGGACAAAACTATGCAGTAGCTTTTGTGCATATTGAGTTGAACACTTTATTCTGATTGCTAAGGAATCACTTAGAGGAACAGCAGAAGAAGACAGACAGGAAGTAAACACTAACAGGAACAAGGTCATGGGCTCTGGTTTGTGTTTAAAAACTGGTCAATGGTAAAGAAGATGTGAACAGCCGTTGGTGTGAACCATTTTTTCTTAGTGTAAGCAATACGATCAACTTAAAATCAACTAAATTAATATAGAGACAAGGTAAACTAAACTAATGTGCATTTAAAAAAGAGGAATAGTTTTGGCGAAAACTAAAAGGTACCATGGGGTCGGATTATACCTTTCCAAAGGGGCGTTCGTTTAGCATGACACACTTGAAATAACTAAAGGATATGTTAAAAAAGAAAGTAGAAAGAAAGTGAGGTCATAGAAAACTATTTCTGCTAAAAGGTGAGCAATGATTGAGAGTCGGAGCTGAACACTTCAGATGTGTGTTTCTCACACTGCTCTGTAGCTTTAATTCATGTTCCTTTGTTATTCATGTTTTATTATCTTTGCTTTTAAATTATTGTTTTTAAAGGCCCTTTGATAAAATGTTTCTTAATGTCTTTCATTTTTGTAAAGCACTTTGAATTGCCTTGAGTTGAAAGGTGCACCAAGGCTCCAGTAGATGGGCCCACCATCCAAAGTGACTGACACCTTTTCTCAGAGGAAGAACCGCCGTGAGCCTGCAGCTTTGGTGTCATAAAGATAAAGCAACACTTTCTCAGAATCAAGCAAAACTAACGGCCCGTCCACACTTCAGCTTCGACAGCTTCAACGGTTTCCAACGCGTCTGCCAATTCACTTTGAATGGAATCATCAAATCATATGCCAGTACAAGCTCTAGCCAATCAAACCGCTGCTTGTGTGTCAGGGGCGGGAGATTCATGTGATTGGTTGTTGGTCGAGCTTCAGACACGCCCCCCGGCAAGCTTTTTTTGAAGCTGTAGTGTGGACGGGCCGTAAGAGTTCAAGAGAAAAACTGAGTCAAGCTAAATACATTTAATTTAACAAAACTAATCCCATGCAAAACACAGACAAATATGACTATATAAATAAACTTGCCTTGCCTTATCCCTCACTTGAATGCATGATAACGGGTTCCTACCATTCATTTCTGAAGAGTGCGTAGACTCTGGTGTCCTCCCACTGCTCTTTCTCCACAGTAGCTACATCCACCAGCTCAGAGAAATGTCTTCGGCTCTCAGGCTCTCCGCAGAACAGCCGAGCGTTCATCTGGGACGTCCAGCTGAACTGCAGAAAGTTCTTCGGACCGCCACGATCTCCCTGGAAGAAAGTGCATTGATTACTCGATCAAAATGCACGTGCAATGAGTAATTTGCAGCATATATAATGAATTAGGGCTGCACGATATATCCTGTCGTGACGAGAATCGCGATATTCACATCGCAGGAGGTGCGATTTTATTTATTTTTTTTTTAGGATATTAAGTAGGCAAATGAACTCAAACACGTCATGTTACAATTATTTTGCCGCTTGCTACAAAAGGAAAACTTGCGCAGCTCTCATGTCAGAGGTACTTGAGTGAGTGACAGCAAACCACCAATCACAATCAAATCTCCAAAGCGAACGGACCCGGTGATTAAAAGTAGAAACACTGAATAAAGTAGTTTCATGTGTTTCTCCAGGGCAGTTCGGCGCTGCTAACCGAGCTAGCTTAGCTTGTTGCTCTGACGTCCGTGACTGAAATCCTTCATCCGGTTAAATATAGTTAGAAAAATACCAATTGTATAGCATTACAGTTCAAGAAAGGATGGTTTGCGGGAAAAAGTAAACGGTCTTTTCTTCAATTCCTGTATTTTTTCATATGGCAATATATATCGCAGGGGAAGAAAATATCGCAATGTCAGTTTTTTCCTTCCGTGCTTAACAGAACAAGAAGAAAACATAACTATATTAAAATAGTTTGACTGGAAAAAAAGATCTCAACAGGCTATTTCAAGTGGGCAGAAGTAACACAAATGTCCTCTGACTGACTAGAAGTTTTTTTTTATTGCAATTCTAGCGTACTGTATTTAGGAGAAAACACTTCACCGAATTCAGTTTTTACAGGAGATTTTTAAACATGACACAGTCAGAGAGAGGGTATATTTTGAGGTATCTAAACTGCAAGTAGCTTCACAGGAAATTAGGTCTTTACAAGTTATTTTTAAAAAGATTGAAAAAATCAACATCCTGTTCAAGACCACTGATCTCAACACTCTTTATGGCTTCAATTTCAACCCAAGCTATTTTGTGCACATATCTGCTTCTAAAAGAGTGTTGCTATTCTTGAAATCTAGCTTCAAACATTACAAATTAAATATGCAATCCTTATTATTTAGTCCTGCAGGTCTTACCATGCACACTCGGGTCACAAAGGGGATCCACATATCACTGTACAGGCCTGGATCTTTGTTTTTCTCCTTATAGAAGCCGAACACTTTGCCCTGAAGGGAGTCATCTCTCCGTCTGCTGGGCACCAAACCCACATAGTGCTGCTCTGAAGACGGAAAGTCAATATGAGTCTAATAATCTGGGTTAACATCATTTAATGAACCCAACATCTCGAAGCATTTACCTCTATCGTGCATCGTGGGTCCAACTCTGTTCCTCCCAAACCTGTGGATGCCAACATCACCTTTAGATCCAGAGTATGTGACGTAGAGGTTACTGTGTGCTGATTCTGCAAAACACACAAGGTGTTATTTTTAGAAAGATATCACAACACCATCGAGGGGCTTTTGGTTTGTATCAGATGCCCTTTTTAAATGACATGCAGTCTCTCCTGTATGAAAAACTGCTTTCTGATAAGCAAGACTTGTTTAGAAGATTTAATAGGACTGTGGAGGATGGGAGGCGTGTGGTGCAGTGGGTTGTGCGTTGGTGTTCTGATCAGGGGAGCACAGGTTCAAACCCCACTGCAGTCAGCATGTCGTTGTGTCCCTGAGACACTTCACCCCAAATTGCTCCTGTTGGGATTGCCCACAGTATTGAGTATGTACCGTAATTTTCGGACTATAAGGCGCACCTGAATATAAGCCGCAGCAGCTAAATTGAATGATGTGTACATATATAAGCCGCACTGGACTATAAGCCGCAGGTGTTTTAATGTTTCATTACCATATGTAAGGGTTAGTGCGGCTTATATATGTACACATCATTCAATTTAGCTGCTGCGGCTTATNCGCATAGAAATGCAATGTCGGACATTGGTTGACGCGCGGGGCGGTCGAAGAACGCGCACCGGGACGCACAGGAACAGCTAACTGTTCGGGTCAGCGCGGCCTAGACAAGCGCTACTGGTACTGCAATTAGTGAAGTGCTTTCCTCCGTGGTGAAACGATCAGCACTGCACCACGGAGGAAAGCGGCAGAAAGTCAGCGGGGCTGCGTTGCGTGCATGGCTTCCTTCTGCAGGTAGACGCGCTCTGGCGGCGGTCTCGTTCAGGATCCGAAAATACAATTTAAATATTTTTGCACAATTATTCCACTTATTCCTAGTGTGCCACTGGTTACGGTGCCAGGGGTTGCCGACCTCTGTTGTAGAGGGTGCAATGAAAAGGTCTCCACTCCTCGGACACCATGTTATCTTAATACTTATTTTACTACTGATACCGATATGATATGATATGATATGATATGATATGACATGAGGACAAATATTAAGACACGATACAAGGAAAACAATTATCACAATGATACTTTTTGAATATTGACTCTACACTCCCTCTGTCTTCACATTACATGTTACTTGTTAGACGCTTTTATCCAAAGCGACTTACATTCTCAATACTGTGGGCAATCCCCACAGGAGCAATTTGGGGTGAAGTGTCTCAGAGGGGTGTGGCTTGTGNTTTGCAATGCTCTCCCCCGAAGGTGCTCTTTAAGAGAGGTTTTGAAGGTAAGTATAGTTTTACTTTCCTTTACAGTAGTGGGAAGAGCGTTCCACCTTGATGTGGCATAATTGCGAAACGTGTATTCCCCCTTTTTTGTTTTACATGATTTGTGGAGCTCCCTCTGGTGTTATGATCATGGTATTCATTGACCTTTGGGAAGAATGTTGACATGTACATGGGTACCATAGAGGTGTAGTGTATCTTGTAGACCAGGCCCATTGCAAGTAGCTGTACTCTGTCGTCTACTCTAAGCCATCCTAGGTTGTCAAAGTGGGCAGAGGTGAGGTGGGTTCTAGATGAAAGGTCAAGCAGTAGTCTGACCAGTTTATTTTGTGATGTTTGAAGTTTTATTTTTAGCGCCTTGGAGGTGCTATGGAACCATGACGTGCAAGCATAGTCATAGTACCCTTGAATGAGTGCTCCTGCCAGAGTTTTCTGTAACTACATTTTGCTTATACTTTTCCTGAATGCAGGACTTTTTACATGTAGTTTTTTTACTATTAGTGTTTTAGTTCAGTAAAGAATCTTAATACTTCTTTCACCCCTGCCAATCAGTCATACCCTTGGCGATAATGAGCCTTAGCTACAATACAGGAGATGTCAGGGGTTGGATGAATTCTTTGCTCTCTGATTGGTTGGAGATAGACAACCTCTCGTCACTGTTCTCCGCCCCCCTCGGCCGTACAGTTCATTGGGAAGCTGTGTCAAGCTGAGGACAGTACATCTGGCCAGAGCAGGAAGTTAGACACGTTACGTTTAATAAATAAATAATACATTTAATAAATGTACATTTCAGGAAGACTGAAAAATCATAGTATATCAGTGGGTTCAATTTATGGAATTTACTTGCAAAAACTTTGTAAGTTTAAAATGTAAATATGATACAATCGATAACTAGAAGAAATGTAAGATGACAACAAAAACAATTGTAAATATTGGATCTACCTTTAGCCTAAATATGTTTATTTTTTTTACCAGAATGAATCTGAATCTGATGGATTTGCAGACATTTGACTGCTGATGATATAAACAAAATTATATAAATTGATGATATAAACACAATTAGCTATAAAATACCAACCTGAAAGAATTAATAGATTCCCTGTCAAATCAAAATCACAAGCAAGGGTGCATTTTTTTTGTTTAACAACCAAAGGCAAGCTATTTAAAGTACATGTAAGTCAGTAGGAAATAAACATAAACCTTATCCAACCATATTCAAATACATTGTGGCATAATGTCAAACGCAGCAACTCAGATCAACTGGGCTTTTATTTTGAAGGTAATCCCGGAAGCTCTTCTTCTTTTGCGACTAGCGTGACACAGGATACAAACAGAAGGTTAGCCCGGCTGACAGCAACTCATCTTTCAGTGGGGAAAGGGATTCTCTGAACTGTCGCCTCGGATCGATATTGCTTCTGTTATGAGAAGAAAACACTGGCTCTGTTAGGACTCTGGTAAGGAAATGCGAGTGTGTGCTAATGCTAGTTTACACCCTGCTTGTAACGTTAGCTACTGTTAGCATAATCTGTTAGCTTGTTTTTCACCAACACGCGACCTTTCATTTACTTTCATTTTTTCACATCTTTATCATAAGTAGTTGAGAAAAGCCAGGCATATAAAATCATAATGTTTTATTATTTTGCCTCCAAGTGGGACCATGTCACTGCTAACTTCTTGACAGTTTGCTTACTAACGTTACTACTACTAGCTAACACACGTTATTTAACCTCTCAGCTTTCCTGCAAACAATTAACTAAAAGTTGCACAACTGCATTGTCATCATTAACACTCGTCCAGCCTGATCGGTGTAATACAGTAATCATGGTGGTAGTTAACGTTGTTTATGTGCACTTGTGTAACTGTGTTAACCTGTTTGACCCCTTTGTGTATAGATTGAACACCATGGCTGCAGTCCCTCCTCTCAGACGGACGGATTCAGCCCGGGGGGAGTTCTCCCCTCTCAAGAGATTTGTTGTGGCCAAGAAGAAGATAAGCGATGTGTTTGAACAACTACTGAACTACGTGAAAGAGACTTCAGAGTTTGTAGAAGGTGAGAGGGTTTGCTTCTCTGTTCTCAATTTACAAAAGTACATTTACTCAAGCATTTTACTTTTTGAGGAACCTTTACTACACTTAAGTATTTCCATGTTATGCTACTCTTTACTTCTACTCCATTACATTTTTGAAGCCTATATTGTACTTTTGACCCCACTTCATTTATTTGAAAAAACAAGAGTTACTATTTACTTTACAGATTAGGATTACTTGCTAACACATAAACTATTATATATAATTTTAGGCTAAGACATTTAGCAACAGTATATAAAGTAATTAAATGAACTCCACCTTTACCAGCAGTGATGAACATTAATGCATGAATAATAATAATCGAGTACATGTATATGATTCTGAAATGGGACATTAAGTACTTAAAAACAATTTGATGCCAATACTTGTTTACTTTAACTCAAGTAAGATTTTGTATGCAGGACTTTTACTTTTACTACAACATCTAAGTACTTCTTCCACCTCTGTCCGTTTGTCAGTCAGGAGGAATAGTAGGTCATTGATTTAATTGGAAAACTAATTACAGTTACCAGGATTATAACACAAAATGTATAAAAGAAGAAAACGCTCATCATGTTTATTATCTGTTAGCCAACTCACTCTGTATGAATTTCTCATGAAGTGGATGGTGGTTGTTGTTTTTATTTGGTCAGAAACCAATGGGAACAAAGCTTTGCAGAACATTGCGAGTCAGGATCAAAAGTTGGAGATCCAGGCGTATGCTGACAAACTTGCTGTCATTAAGGAGGTGCTGGCACGCAGACACATGAAAGTGGCCTTTTTTGGCAGGTAAAAAACCTCTATACACAAACCTGAAATGTATTTGTTCCAAGTGTTCTTCTTTCCCATAAAAGCAACCTTTTTTAGATGTTATTGTTGTGATGTACAAGAGTTAAAGTGGTCCTCCTCCAGATTATTTACGTAGAAGTTTGCCTGAGCTTTTATGTTCTTTTAATTTCACAAGTATCATTGAAGTGACAGGCATTTCCTTTTGTTAGAACCCATTCTTTATAATTGAGTTTGAACTGATGTTAATTGAACCATATCATGCCCTGCACGCCTTAACCCAAGACACAACAGGGAGGGTGTGCCAGAGAAATACTGGGAGATTTCCTCTGCTTGATTGGGCAATGAGTTGCAGTTCCTTAAACCTCCTTACATTGTAAACACTTCCTATTGCAAAGTAACTAGATTACTTACTCGGTCTGACCCATCAGTTGCATCACATTAGTGTTACATTGACATTTAAAGTAAGTTAGGATTTTACAGCCTGGACAATTTTGGTAATTTGGAGTATGAGCTAATTATTTGTTTTTGACACAGAGTCAATGACTGTTTTGTTTTTAGGACGAGTAATGGTAAAAGCACAGTGGTCAACGCCATGCTGAGGGACCGCGTGCTGCCCAGCGGGATCGGCCACACCACTAACTGCTTCCTCAGTGTGGAGGGCACTGATGAAGACAAGGCCTACCTCAAGACAGAGGGCTCTGATGAGGAGAAGAGCATCAAGGTAGGTGTTATTTTAATAACGCTAACCTTTTTGCAAAATGTTTTTAGGTTAAATTAGTCTGTTACGAGCCCATTCATATTTTTACAGATTTGTGTTGTTCTATGGAGAACTACCTTGTTCCTGCTGTTGTAAAGGGGACAAAGAATGTCGCCATGTTCACTTATCAGACTGTCAGTGATGTTGTGCTACCTCACATTTCCTCTGTTGACTTGCAGTCAGAATGCCAGGAATATTGTATATGACATTTTTACTGTGGACATTTTGTTTAACCCAAAGGGGTCACACATATGTGAGTACAAGCTTACAAGGTTACTTCGTCAACATGATAACAGAACCAATCTCATTGTTTTATAAGCAGTTATAGAAGACTTTTCTAACAACTTCAAATGACTAAACAGAATGATTTCAACACAAGTTCAACATAGTAAGCAGCTGTTTTAATCCATCTATTGTCCTCTAGCTGATGGCATGTCAAACCTGGTAGCTACCTAATTTCAAATGTAACATTTCCCTCTCTAATTATTATCTTATTGGCTTGTATAAATAAACCTTCCTGTTATTCAGTCAAATTATTAACTGCATAATGATACATACAGTGGGGCAAAAAAGTATTTAGTCAGCCACCAATTGTGCAAGTTCTCCCACTTAAAAAGATGAGAGGCCTGTAATTTTCATCCTAGGTATACCTCAACTGTGAGAGACAAAATGAGAAAAGAAAAATCCAGAAAATCACATTGTCTGATTTTTAAAAATTATGGTGGAAAATAAGTATTTGGTCACCTACAAACAAACAAGATTTCTGGCTCTCACAGACCTGTAACTTCTTCTTTAAGAGTCTCCTCTGTCCTCCACTTGTTAACTGTATTAATGGCACCTGTTTGAACTCGTTATCAGTATAAAAGACACCTGTCCACAACCTCCAAACTCCACTATGGCCAAGACCAAAGAGCTGTCAAAGGACACCAGAAACACAATTGTAGACCTGCACCAGGCTGGGAAGACTGAATCTGCAATAGATAAGCAGCTTGGTGTGAAGAAATCAACTGTGGGAGCAATTATTAGAAAATGGAAGACATACA